TATTTTTTTTTCACATTATTAAACTGACAATGAGTCTGAAATCCTCAAAACTTCTTTCATGTAGAGTATGTCACTGCTGTTACTGGTACTTCATCAAGCACCATTTTACAAGCCAAGAGAAGCCAGGATCACAGGGAGGGCATCCTGCAACCCACTGACTGCTCTGATGAAAGAACTTCAAATGAAGAAGTAACTGAAGCACAAACTGAAGCACAGTTCAAGCAAGGGAACAACAAGTAAGAACATTTGTGGGACCCATCTTGCTGTACTCTACCACAACAAGAAAGTAAATTGTAACATCTCTCAAGCCAAAATGTGTCTTAAATAGTGTACATTTCTATTTCCACCAGCTTATAAGCAAGCTTGTTTGTTTGATTGTTCCTTCTAGGTCAGATAGTCTTTGCTGTTTGCCAGTGCCAGAGCCCAGTACCGAAGCACGCCCTGATCCATGTGACTCCTGCAGGGCTCCACACCGCTTTTTACACAGCAGGCTGGATGGTCAGTTGCACAGGCCTTGTCCTAGACTTCAGTTCTGACATTGTTATTGAATCCTTTACTGGTTGATATGTGGAATATGTAATTCATGTACCATGTCTGTATTAGAAATTTCAAAAATGAACAATGTGTACATACATGATGTACTTTTAATGTACATGTCTAGAATGTTTGAAGTGTATTTGTATTTAAACAAGTCAGAAAGACGGGAAAGTATGGACAGTTTCTCCTTGTTTTTATTATACTGGTAGAGGCATAACAAATTAAGTAACTTTTGTTATTATATTTTGGTTGTTCCACAGATATTCCCCATGTTGCTGATCTCCAGATGAGTAGAAGTGAACTGCTGCAGGATTTTGTTCCAGGCTCAAATGGGTTCAGTGTCAAATGCTGCAGCAAATAACTGTCATGGGACAGACTTAACGACAGGTTCTGTTCAAAAACAGGGCAGTTGCCAAATTAGTTAGTGCACAATTGTTATCTTAAGGGATGACAAATTCTTCCCTGATTTAATGTTGTATAGATTGTTTGAATGTACAGTATACAATGTATAAGTAGCTTGTTCTCACAAAGAAACTTCCTTCAGGTCTACTGTTCATCGTTGCAGTGACATGGTTGAACTAATGTTAAATCTTGTAAGTATTAAAGAACTAAATCTTTGCCATTGTAAATATTTTTGAAATTAACTGAATGTTTTAATAGCCAGAAATTAATTATGTCACATGATATTTTGTATTCCTGAGCCTGGCAAAAATATTGAACTAAACCACTACATAGGAACAGTGTCATTGAATGAATTAATGTATAAATCAATACCAGTAAGAAACATGACCAACGTATATTCAGATACAGTACTAGTTTAAATTAATGCTTATGTATAGGCCCAGGGTACCATTACCATCTTTATCTAGTACAACAATCATAGCTCGTAAACTGTTTCTGTCACTCCAGAGCCTAATGTCTATATTCACATTCCCATGTCGTGTAAGGCTGTTATGTGATTTCATAGACCGTCTCCAAAAATGAGCTCCAGTGCAGCCTGGACGTCTCCACCTGTGGCCTGCAGGGCTCGCAAACTCAGGGCATCGTCTGTGATTCCCATCTCACGCATCTGCTGCAGCTGGGACTGAACACACACGCACAATATTAGAACAGAACATCAGACTAGAAACTAAAGGTAGTGCAGTGGGCAGTGAAGCTGAAAGGGGTTCTCAAAGTCTGCTGTCAGTGAAGAGTGGATAAAACAAGACAGTGGGGTGGCCTGCAGAGAAGGGAACTGGGATTTGTCAATTGTTCCAGTCACATTCACAAGTGTCTACATCACCACCTGAACACCAACACATCACATGTCATGGGAAACCATGCATTACTGACTCCACACCAGCAATGTTTTGTGTGACAACCAGTAGAACTGGTACCTGGGTGGCAGCTGTCAGGGCTTGCTGCATGGCCTGACTGAACAGGTCCTGGGTTATCATTGGTCGAGAGCCTGCAGCTTCTCCTCCACTGGCAGACGCTGTATTAGTAGAACTAGTGGGTGTGGTGGCAGAACTAGATCCACTTGTGTTAGCAGTCGGCCTCTGTACAGCAGATGACATGCAGGACTATAAGTCACACAACTGTCCTCATACCACCATTTTAAAACAAGATATCAGTAGCTACTAGATGTGGTAAAAGCACAGCAAGACATGTACACCAGGCATAGATGTATATAGATCTTGACTGGACATTACCAAACACTAATTTGAACATAGAACCATCCCATTTTCCATAACAGTAACACTGAACACGATCCAGCTTTGTAAGAGCAAAGGCTTCACATCACAATTACAGATTCTATTCACATAACAGAATGACATTGCCCACCTGAAGCACCTCCTGTCCACCCTGTGGCTGCATGTTCATGGCTGCTGTTGCTAGTGCAGAGGCCAGCTGTACAGGTGTGATGGGGCTGGGTGTGGCAGCCTGGGAGTCATTGCCTCCTACACCCTGTAACAAGTCAACACCTGTCTGAGGATGTGCACACTCAAACAAGTTGTTCATAGGTTTGTAGTTCAATCCTAAATATAGTTTACTGCCAGCTACAATGTACGGATACCATTTAAAGAAAAAGGCAATAAGAACCAGTGGAGGGGGATCATGGTTCACACTGCAGCCTTTGTCTTGAAAATAGTGAAGCATGTGAGCAAGGGACATTCTTACCTGGTCAGCTGTCTCCATATCCTCGTCCTCAGAGTCCATCCCAACAACCCCCCTCCACCTGAACTCGGACCCCCCCTGACGCTCCCCCTGACTGCTGCTTCCTCGTTCACA